ACACTCTCATTATTCTCAGGCAAGCTCTGGAGTTATAAGGTGCGGCTTCATGTCTTTGAGTGGATTTACAGGTGCTGGTCATATATTTAGAATATCATCAAAAAGTTGATTTATTTCAGTAATTCCATTCAAAAGTGAAACTTGGATATTATATTCATTCATTACACACAGACTGATATATTTCAAGTGTTCATTCCTTTTAATTTTGATGATTATAACTGACAACTAATGAAAACTCCAAAATCAGTATCTCAGAAAATTAGAATATTGTGAAAAGGTTCAATATTGAAGACGCCTGGTGCCACTCTAATCAGCTAATTAACTCAAAACACCTGCAAAGGCCTTTAAATGGTCTCTCAGTCTAGTTCTGTAGGCTACACAATTACTGACTTGACAGCTGTCCAAAAGACGACCATTGACACCTTGCACAGGAGGGCAAGACACAAAAGGTCATTGCTAAAGAGGCTGGCTGTTCACAGAGCTCTGTGTCCAAGCACATTAATAGAGAGGTGAAGGGAAGGAAAAGATGTGGTAGAAAAAAGTGTACAAGCAATAGGGATAACCGCACCCTGGAGAGGATTGTGAAACAAAACCCATTCAAAAATGTGGGGGAGATTCACAAAGAGTGGACTGCAGCTGGAGTCAGTGCTTCAAGAACCACCACGCACAGACGTATGCAAGACGTGTTTCAGCTGTCGCATTCCTTGTGTCAAGCCACTCTTGAACAAGACACAGCGTCAGAAGCGTCTCGCCTGGGCTAAAGACAAAAAGGACTGGACTGCTGCTGAGTGGTCCAAAGTTATGTTCTCTGATAAAATTTTGCATTTTCTTTGGAAATCAAGGTCCCAGAGTCTGGAGGAAGAGAGGAGAGGCACAGAATCCACGTTGCTTGAAGTCCAGTGTAAAGTTTCCACAGTCAGTGATGGTTTGGGGTGCCATGTCATCTGCTGGTGTTGGTCCACTGTGTTTTCTGAGGTCCAAGGTCAACGCAGCCGTCTACCAGGAAGTTTTAGAGCACTTCATGCTTCCTGCTGCTGACCAACTTCATGGAGATGCAGATTTCATTTTCCAAAAGGACTTGGCACCTGCACACAGTGCCAAAGCTACCAGTACCTGGTTTAAGGACCATGGTATCCCTGTTCTTAATTGGCCAGCAAACTCGCCTGACCTTAACCCTATAGAAAATCTATTGGGTATTGTGAAGAGGAAGATGCGATACGCCAGACCCAACAATGCAGAAGAGCTGAAGGCCACTATCAGGCAACCTGGGCTCTCATAACACCTGAGTGCCACAGACTGATGGACTCCATGCCACGCCGCATTGCTGCAGTAATTCAGGCAAAAGGAGCCCCAACTAAGTATTGTGTGCTGTACATGCTCATACTTTTCATGTTCATACTTTTCAGTTGGCCAACATTTCTAAAAATCCTTTTTTTGTATTGGTCTTAAGTACTATTCTAATTTTCGGAGATACTGAATTTGGGATTTTCATTAGTTGTCAGTTTTAATCATCACGATTAAATGAAATAAACATTTGAAATATATCAGTCTGTGTGGAATGAATGAATGAATGTAATATCCAAGTTTCACTTTTTGAATGGAATTACTGAAATAAATCAACTTTTTGATGATATTCTAATTATATGACCAGCACCTGTATGGATACGAAAGTTACGTATGATATGTTTTTTCACCATGGACGTTGGAGAGCATATCCTTAGAAAGTTTAGGCCCCACTGAATTTAAAAATATGTGTATCATGTTCAGATTTTAAAATGCAATTTGCATTTGAAAATATAAATACTGAGACTGCGAGAATGAAGAGTGCCTGGTGTTGGGGAGCAGGCTATATCAGCAGGCCAAACTACAATAACTAACTTCCTGTTGCTTTAAGAACAGGACATGCACCTGTCCCTTCCACCTCATGCAGTATTTCTGCCTCCAGTCTCTCCCTCCTTGCCCCCCTGGGGAGGTGTGCCTCACTATTTGAAATCCCTTGTGCTAAGCCAATAAGCCCAGTTTGAACATCATACAACTGCTTACAATATGTATCATTCTCCATGTGAGTGGGTCATTGACCAGGTGGTTTTGGTTTGATGTAGTATTCTGTCAGGTTTCATGTCAGTGAAGCTGCAATCAAAAAAAAAATAAAAGAATCTTCTTTCTGCCTAAGAGCTGAAATGCTTTTAATAATGCACAGTGGCTCTCCGACTGCTCAAGGAGCATAAAAGCCATTCAGACGTCTTATTGTGACGATGATGTTCTCTTTGTTCTGGAGTATAAGTCAGCTCCTTTGTTCTGTTAGAGCAGGAATAAGATAAAGCCATTCTCTTGCTTTTATCAGACTCCGCATCAAATCCCACACCAAATATCTGCATAGTTCTTTTCTTTTCTAGGTTACAACCACATCTGTAGGTTTAAAAAAAAAAATACAGTTGACAATATACACTTAAGACTTACCTTTTATCTTCGGATAACAAAGCTTATCACAGTACAAAGGAAGGGTGATTTTATCATCATATTTGCAGGAGGGACCATAGTCAAAGGCTGATCCCGGGGAGGATAAATTGTTCTCCAACAAGCCACAGAGCAGTCCACTACTCAAATACTTAACGTGGTTCCTGTAGATTGAATTGCACCGTGCTCATAGGAGTATGCATAATGACTTCCTCCCTTGAATGATAATGCAAAGCCATGGTGTAGACAGGATATGTTCTTCTGTCGCAAAGGAACAATGAATGGAGATTAATGTGTGACAGTGAAATGGTGGATTGAGGTTGTTGCTTCTCGTGACAGAGGATCAGTGTGGGGAATTTATTCCCGGGGCGCTGCTTTGTAGCAGCTAGTGACACGCAGGTATGGGTTTATTAATGCTATTTATCTCACCCGGCTCACCTTCAGAACACAGACTATGCTCCCCCCGGCTGCAGATTATGCATATTCATACATGCAAATACGAACTGGCCTTGGATTTTCTCTTAAGGAATTTAACCCCTGTTGAACTAGATAGTTTGTAAAAAGGTGGAACCTTATCATTAAACGGTGTTATTGGATGATCACAGAGGTTCTAGCACTATTGAGAGAGTAGGTGACCTATATACAAAAATATTTGTTTTTACTCTCAAGCAAACTATTTTGCATACCAATGGCTAGATGAAGTGAATAAGTCATGTTTATATCATGAAGCACTTACATTGTCTGGATGAAAAAAAAATTAAAAAGTTTGAGGTTGGTGACTTTTTGAGTATAGCAGATGTTTTAACAATCACATGACTACTAAAAAAAACAAATAAAAACCCCAAAAGCACTGTGCCCTCACAGTAAGAAGGTCACGGGTTCAAACCCCGGTTGCCCTGGCCTTTCTGTGAGGAGTTTGCATGTTCTCCCCGTGTCTGAGTGGGTTTCCTCCAGGTGCTCCGGTTTCCCCAACCACCAAAAACATGTTAGGTTCTACAGTCAGTGTTATTGACCAGACACTGGTAAAGATCTGGAGTTGCTCCCCGGGCGCTGCACCGCGGCTGCCCGCTGCTCCCTTGAGGGATGGGTTAAATATAGAGGATGAATTTTGCAGCATGTATGTGTATGTGACAATAAAGGATCTTCTACTTGTATGTGAAAACTCTGCAGTTGTCAAAACTAGAGATGTTTTCAGCAGAAAAAAAGCCCACTGTACACTACCTGCCCAGCACCGAACAGCAGACACAAAGTTAGCAACTGGCTGGTGAACATAGTGGATCAATTACACCAATCAGCCATAACATTATGGCCACTAACAGGTCAAGTGAACACTGATTAGCATTGACACTGAATATTGGAGCGGGACATTAATTATGACATGTGGAATTTACCAGTGGAATTGCTGGAGTGTTTTGTCCTTAAGGTGGCCCAGGAAAACTTGTGAAGTGCCCAAAATGGAAAGGGTTCATTCTCTGGGGAGCAATCTGACTGATAACTATCTTCTGTCCGAGTAGAAAGTTGCTTGATGATGGCACAAAAAGAAAGTTTAAGGGGTCACCAATGAAATTTGTAATCTTCTGCTGGGGACCATGAAAATCAGTAACAGGTTTCATGACAATCTTGCCAGTTGTAGCGGAGAGATCTTGCCTGGTCTTTCCTTTGTGGACGGCTGTGGCTTAGGAGATAGAGTGGGTTGCCCGTTAATCGGCGGTTCAATCCCTGGCTCCTCCATGCTGCATGTCAATGTATCCTTGGGCAAGATACTGAACCCTGGTGGCTGTTCCACCAATGTTAGTTTCTGTTTGAGCACTTAGGCTCAGTGAATGAATGCAGACTGGCATTTGAGCTAAATGCTGTGCGCCAGCGTGTGGCAGTGATGAGGTATGGGAAACATGTAACACTATTCATTAACTAAGTCTCTGCATTTGTAAGACTACAACTACACGGCCGCTGGAGGGCTGAGACACAGGAGGTGCAGTGGAGATGCCAGGGCTGGGCTCCTTGCCCAGCTGCAGCTCCACCAACCCCGCTGGAACACGCAGTCACTAAAAACAATAGAAAAATTCTCATTTGTTTGTGTAAACAACTTGAAGGTATTTGGTTCACGATCATTTCAAACCATGAACCATACAACTTACGTACATGGGTCATCTTGTGCATCAACATCAAACTTGTTTCAACCTCACCACCAAGAACTTCAGTTTCACACTAGACGAAATTTATTTTTTTAGCTTTTCTGTCAGAATTTGCCGTCGTTGTCTTCATGCAGTCAGTATGTATTATTAATTAGTGTTTCACTGGCTATTTATAGGCAACTATGAGTGTTAAAAGGAAAAAAGCTTGCTCATGTGAGCCAAATTTTCAAAGTTTATTGTGATTTATAAAAGGGAAATCAGCCTGTGACATGCGTACGCACTATGCTATAAATCTTTCTGTGCATAAGTTGTTTCGTCCATACGCAACCTTTTGATGTGTATCCGTTTTATAAACGAGGCTGCAGGTCTCTAAATGTTCTCTCGTTGCTTTTCTTTTCTTTCCTGCAGGGATCTCTGTCAGCATTTCCACCTTCAGCCTTGTGGCCATTGCCATCGAGAGATACAGCGCTATTTGTAACCCGCTGAAGTCCCGATCCTGGCAGACCCGATCCCACGCCTACCGCGTCATTGCGGCCACCTGGGTGGTGTCACTGATAGTCATGGTGCCCTACCCAGTGTTCAGTGTCCTCAAGTCTTTCCCAAAGAGCAACGGTACTGTTGGCCACATGTGTCGCCTGGACTGGCCCAGCCAGCAAGCTGAGCAGACCTGGTAGGTACTGGTGACACAATAACCTCCAATGAATAAGTGAAAAAAGCATGGATAAAAGGAACACCCTCAGTCATTCATCTGTTCAAACATTAGTCTGATCAGCAGGACTTGTTGGGCGATGAGGACTGGTAGCTATGTTAAAGTAATGAGTCCAAACAGGCAAAGAAATCAAGGAGCAGGCTAAAATCAGAACCAGAGAAGACATGATGGGTAAAAGATGAATAGACGGAGTCAGTTAGTGAATCGAATGCAATCTGCTTGGTTTTGGTTCCAAATGTGTGGAGATACTCTGATTTACATCCGGTGTAATTGTGTAATTTACATATGCATTACCATGACAAGCAAAAAGTAGCTTAATTTTTTGAGCAGTGCAATCAGATCACTTTCTGCTGATTGCTCACAGTTGGAAAACAGAGTGCATGCTGATTTGGTAATTTTCGTAAAATAGCTCAAATTTCTTGCACAAACCTCCAGCAGATCCACTGTTCTCAGGCAATTCAAACAGCGTTTGTAGTACACTGTGTGTTTGTAACTGGAATAAAAAAGTTTGCTGTAATATATTAGTTTTAACTTGTTCCAGTTTCTTCATGTGGAATACATCATCACTGTACTTCAAAAAGACATTTGTACCAGCCACTCTGGTCTCTCATAACGTCTGCAAACCATGCCTCTTTGGTGAAGCAGTTTTATCTCTGCAAAGGGAGGTTAACTCAAAGTGGATGGTGCAACTGAGCTAATAAGCTACAATAGCTTCCGCCATTTTGGGCTCTCAAAGGTCAGCCTGTGTACTCACTCTCCGCCCCCCCCCGTCCTACACCTCGTCCTACACCTCTGCTAATGATGGAAAGAAGGCTCATAAATTCTTGTCATTTTAGGTTTGAACCCCTGGGATGAAGCTGTAAAGGTGGTTACAGGGGTGATGTCTGAAAAATGAATGAAATCATTAAGTGGGAGTCTCTTTCTTTAAGATGAAAAAGGTGACCCGGCAGCTCCCGTTGAGGCATAATTACAGACTGTGTGGGTCCGTTTTCTAGCATAGCAGGGGTCATACCAAAAAAAACAGAGGAGCCAGGAAAGAAAAGTAGAGACGACATCATTAGACAAAGACACTGTAGATAATGTGTCTGCCTTCGGTATCTGTGCATGTTACCATTTTGCTGTCATTTTGAATGAACATGATTGTTTCTCTGCTCCTGACTGTACACTGAAAAGGATTAAAGCAGGAGAGAAGCGATTATTGCTGTTACAGTCTGAATTGCTCTGTGTTAGGAAAGGCATCCATCCATCTACATTCATGCCCTCTGAGGCATGTTGTTAAAAAGCACCACAGGTAGAGGGATAAGCAGCCACAGACAAGATATGTTCTTGCATCTTGGGATGTACTACTCAGGGATTTTCATAGATCTGTCCATACACACACAACTTTTCCTGCAGGATGGCGCAATTAAAAAGAAGAAGAAGCTGCACATGGCAAAACCTTGTACGTCTCTCTACTTGACAGCTTTTTGTGGTCGAACACTCTGAAGATTTCTCTTTTCTTTGTCTATCAAACCGCAAAGCTTCTCTGGGAAAGGCGAGGCAGTGGGAGACCAGTTAATTAGTCTGCTCGGGGAGGAGGAGGAGGAGGAGGAGGAGGCAGAAAGTCGAGACTCAGATGTCAAAAGTCCAGATGTGTCACTGACTAGGAGGACCTTTCAAGTTTTAATTCACAGTTTCATCTTGACTTGTCATGGCCATCTTTTAAATTACACCAGGGTTTAGGGGTTAAAACCTCAATTCCAAGGAGATAACACCTCTTTCATCCACCTCTCATTACATGAAAATGGCCCTTTTTTTGCACCTAATGAAGCAAGGCATAGAGTTACTGAAGCATCCATTTTTAGACTGAAATCTTAGTCTGAGATGATAAGCGAATTATATCAAGACACGTAAGAGCCATAAAGTTGTTAATGAACCATTTTTCTCTAGTCAAAGGCAAATCTAATGATTTTCTTAATGATTTTTATAATTATTCTCATGCATGGTGTGCACTGTACACAGACTGGAGTTTTACACAACAAAATATCTGGAGGGTTGAATAATCCTATTCATTGAGAGAACTCAGCCACTAGATAAGTAGACATTATAATATGACTAGATAACATTTTTGCATTAAAGAGAAACTTGGTTATGGGCACACTTATAGAAGTATAATAAATAACAACAGAAATTATATTGCTGATACTTTATGATGTTATACTTTAGATAATCATATACACGTCATCTGAATTCCCATGTACACATAAATCAATCACCCGCCACCCACCCAAATTATCTTCTCCAATTTAGAGACCTGCACCCTCATGGACATTTCACTCCATCTCTCATGGTCCCTGTAGGCTGTGTTCCCATTTAATTACTCGAGCAGCGCAAGCTGTCCAGATGATGTCTGTATTGTGTGTTGTACTAATGTATGAGTGTTTCCAATAACGATTTACTTTAATGATTAGAGAGGCCGCTGTCTGCAATTTTAAATGTTTCCAGTGAAAGAAAAAGCTGTGACAGTGTCTCTCTTAATGGGGAGACGCCTCACCCTGTTTCACCCACAAGCAACCCATCCGCTATTAATCACGATGTTAATTCTTATTATCCTTGTTGTTTGATGTTTGCATCTTCAACAGGAAGGGGACTGTGTTTTGCTGATCAATTACTGCGTCTTTTTAGGAGAATATTAACTGTAAATAAAAAACAAAATTATTTTACTCAAAATATATATAATATATTGAGAAAGAGGCAGGGCTTTTTCAGGGAATGGACATTTGATTGACATATGATATGACATGATTGTACAAAATGTCATGACAGTCCATCCAATAGTTGTTGGAGATACCTCAGTCTGCAGAGACTTGACGCTGCCATCCACAGAGTCCTACACCACTTAGCTTCAAACTCAAACAAAACAAAATCAAAAACTCTGCAAAGGAAGACAATGATCCAATTTTCATATCTCCCTGTCCCAGGTGAAGTTTATTTGTAGTGCAGAAATGGGTAACACGTGCATGTCATTTTCTTTGATGATTAATATAAACCTAACACACCTTCAGTGGTTGATAATCATGGAGCTTTCAGGTGATGCGGGAACAGTCAAAAGAGGGAGTAACATATGAATATTCATCATGTTTTTTTCATGTCCCTCTGCCTCATCCATCTGGGTTTCCCCCTTGAGGCAAAACAAGCACAAATATCCACCAGCAGTGGTGTGTTGCCGCACTCCTGCACGTTCACTTCCAGACAGCTTTTGTCTAACAGATTTTCCACAGTATCAAACAGCCAGCTGATGAGAGACTTTGGCTGAAGCCTTTTTTTAAATGAGAAGTGAAAGAGCGGGGCTGTGCAGAGTTCAGAGGGTTTGCCGGGGAAGACTAGATTAGAATATCAGAGAATGAATGAAACCCGACCTCTTCCTCTCTGCTGTCGCTTTCATGTGCTGACTGATGTGCACCGCAGACATCGGTGGTTGTGAAGAGGATTCTCTGATTATGACGAATCAAAAGGGAGATGTGGCTGCGTGATGGTAAAGATTTATTACGATCAAAGTGACATCTGTACAGTTTCTTATTTATTTATTTATTCATGGGTTACTCTTTCTTGTTTTCTCTTTTACAATAATTGCATATTCCCTCCTCCTCTCTTTATCATTCTCCCTTCAGTTCACTTAATTTTACTTATAGGTTTTATTCGCTTCAGAGAGAGCGTACACTTTTATAATCCCAAGCGGTTTCTCATGCTCACTCAGTCATTGTACTTCGCTGGTTGTTCAAACAAAGATGAAGATACAGATGGTGCCAAACTGACAGATGCTCTGAGCCCTTTGAATTTTGTACACTCCTTACAAATTCCCCTCGTTCAACATTTTGTTCCATTTTCCCCCCACTACTCAGTTCACTACTTTTTCTTTGAGGTGTCATCAATCTCACCACGATCAATTATACACATTTCTTTCTGTTGTGTCATAGCCATGGGTACCGTCTGTCAACACGTTCTCATCCCAGTGCGTCACATATGGACACTTTGGCCTCACTTTTGCACTTGTAAGGCTCTGCGGTCAAGTTAGCATGAATAAATATGCAAAGTCTGGTTAGACTTTCAAAATAAAACTATTGCTTTACGTTGTGAAACGGCATGTGGTTAACATTGTGAAAAATATTGGTCAGGTTTAGGCACCAAAACAACTTGGTTAGGTTTAGGAAAATAACTGTGACATAACTTTAACTTAAGTTTTTTTGTAACCACACGGGTCTTCTGGGTGAAAGTCCGGTTTCTGACCCACCCACCCAGCCACCTCCTTATTTGGACATTTCTGGGTATATATAAGGGTGCGTCCATATGAGGTTGTAACCATGTATGTCAATATGCACTGTTACTGTGTATGTCAACGTGACAGTTTGATAAGGTTGTGTTGAAAACCTTCCCCACATTGAACAGGATGGCTGCCACCCTCTTAAAGAAAATACTGTCTTGTAGTGTCAGACCTGCAGCAGCTGACTGGTCCAACTGGTCCAACTGACTCTGCAGATGTTGGTGACTTAACATGTCCTCCATGTTGAGAACATATGATTGGGCAGTGTATTTAGTTAAATCAAGCATTTCAATTCATTTTAGTATTTTCTCCAGGTTACAGTTTCTTTTACTCCATTTCCCTTTGGGCCCATATGTCTTCACTTGATAAGATAAGACTGTAACTCCATTCATGTAAAAGTACTAAGTGGAAAACAATTGAAAATCTCTCTGCCCTTGGTCAGGTCATTTTTAAACATAGGTGCCACCAGCTTGACTAATAAGAGGATTTTTTTGTAACTAATTTCAGACATCCATTCTTTTACTTTTAAAGGGCTTGAGGCTACATTAGCTGCTACTTGCATAACACACCTCAATCTCCAACAGAACAGGCTGCAGAAAGGTTGCATTGTGGGTCATGCAGGCCCCCAGGTTTGACAAGGCAGAAGAATGCATGGAATAAAAAAGATGTCTCTGGTTCGGCTGCATCAATTTTGATTACTTTTTTTTATTTGTCAAAATTGTAAAAACCTGTTTTCTTCAGAGAACTATTCTGTTGTCAAACTGATCTGAATTGCTTTGCTAATGTTAATACAGGTCTATTGTAATTGATCCTAAGAGTGCAAAGAACAGATTTGGGGAGAACCTTCTTGCTAGTCGTTATTGGAAGAATGAACTCAAAAAGTCACAAGCACACAGAACACTGTTGACAGTTTGAGATGATGCATTATTGCTGCTATTGTGACAGAGGCCGCCTGCAGTTCTCTAAAATCACCCAAAACAATCGGTGTTGCGCAATGACATACCCTAAGCTTAGCTGATTACTCCACCAACTGTACGCTGACAATATAATGTCTATTTATAGAGCAACAGTTCCCTTTCATACTGGCCCTGTTGTTTGGTTGTTTATTGATTTTATTTCTTCTAAAGTGCTGCTAAGTTTCAGATGCCTGATGTCTCTTGATTTAAGTTAAAATGCTATAACATTCCTCAGAATGTAATGATAGTCTTTCCTCTGCCATTGCTGCTGGACTCGTCTGTTTCGTTGGCTGCAGTGGTCTGTGTGACTGTGGGACAAGAGGGCTCTTGTGGCGCTTATCAACTCCGAAAATGTTGGAGCACATTTTTCGATTCACCATAAATTTTTGTAAAACTGCCAATATTCGAAATCTACACAGCTGATTGCCTCAAAACGTCTCAGAAGTGGATGTAGTAATGAAACAACATTTAAAATTGTATAAAAATGTTGGCCTCTTACAGTGCTGTTTTCAGCTCCTCGCTTGAATGCCAAAATGATTGTTGGGATATTTGTGCTGTCCAGTTCATACAAGAATTCCAAATGATGCGTTCTTTGTAAAATGTTTAGCCATCTTATAGGCTTGGTGACTTCATGGCCACATCATGGGGGGCTCCTGTGGGGCTCATCCTATAGGAATCCAAGATTTGGATTCAAATTAAATCACACACTGTGGTGTGATTTAACAGACCAGAGGGGATTTGGTGCAGTTTCCTTGTTAAGGCTTTGCGTTTTACGTGTCGACCTCGCCATTGTTTTCCATGTGGTGACATAATAACATAACAATTTTTATGCAGATGATACTATTGTGTATGCACATGGCTCTCCAACTCAAGCTATGTCTAGATTACAATTCTATCTTACAGTATATTATATAAATGTCTCCTCAATATGTCACTGAACTACTGTTCATCAGCGCAGAGCTCAGGACTGGCTAACTGCTTGTACCCCACCAATAAATACTAACTCTGGGAAAGTCTCAAAAGTCTCATCCCATTTCCTAATTTTTTTTAGATGTGAGATTGTTTCTGATGCTGTTTGTATGTTCTTCAGTGTGGCCTGCTTGCTGTTGTGACACGGTATGACATGATCGGTCCCCCAGGGTGCTGAGGAGCCTGATAGCCTGCAGTGAGAAGCTGTAGCGCTGGATGGGTTCAGTACCTTGGGGATAAAGAGGCCTGTTGGGAGGGATCAACCATCTGGGGGGCCTCCAGCAGCGCTCCAACACATGCACAAAGGTGTATGAGGAAAGAAAGATACACTGTTAAGTTAAGTTCACAAGCACATTTTCAGCCAGTAGCTGGATAAGGTTATGTGTTTGGTTGGTGTTTAGGGCTGATTCGAGATAAAGTAGAGACTTTTACTCTTTGCGTTGTTTTTTTTTACGCCTCTCTCTTTCCATCTGGCTGTTTTTCAGGTATGTGCTGCTGCTGTTCACTCTGTTCTTCATCCCAGGAGTGGTGATGATTGTAGCCTACGGTCTGATCTCCAGAGAGCTCGTACGAGGCATTCAGTTTGAGCTGGGCCAGAACAGAGAGACTACCGGTGAGAACCATCATATATCAATCCAAACAGGAAAAAGCTTTTTGTTCACAGTGATTTAACTCATACTGTGGATGAAAACATCTATTTCACTTTTTATAGACCTGTATGAAGCTGCATTGAATTACATCAGAAAGACAGGAAACAGCAGGTTTTATCAGCAGTCCAGTAAAATATCACAACTGCCAGTAATGACACAAAAAAACTCCAATTAAATACACGCCTGTTGGATCTAATAGACACAAACCCCCATTATCAGGCAGTACAGGCAAACAAATAATAGAACATAACTACAAAGGGTGCCTCAAGCTCAGAATGACATATTTTGCTGCTACCTACAGGTTCTGCACCTGTTACATCCAAAAATACACTTCTTCTCAGTTGTCCTAATATCCACTCGACTTGTTTTCATGCCTGTTTGGAATTTCTAGTGGCCTTACAGCTGGTATTTCCCAAAGAAAAAGAAAAATCTCTGTGTTACAGATGAGACACATCTCTGGGTGCATTGTGTGCATCAGTAGGACCAGTTTCCAAGGAGTCCAGCCTTGTGTGTGTGATTCATCAAGGTTGAGACGATCTGAAATAGCCTTCAGTGGCGACTGCTCATTTATAAACATAGTGTTTTATTCATTTGGAATGCAGCAAAACAATGAACTTCCATTCGTCTTTTAGCGTGTTTAGTCTGTCTAAAAAAAAACAGTTGTTTTAAGACACACTTAAAAATACTAGGCATTTACATTATGTTGAATTCCAAGGAAACTCTCCAAATGTAAACTCTCTGACATTCCACAGGCAAGAAGAACGGTATAGGAAGGGCTGTCACAGGTTCGAATGATGACGACGATGGTTGCTACATCCAGGTGTCTAAAAAACCCTCTTCTGCTCTAGAGCTCCCCACACTCTCTGCCTCGACTGGTGCCATCCAGGCCAAACCTGAGCGCGCCCGCAGCAACACCTCAGAGGCCAAGCTGCAGGCCAAGAGGAGAGTCATCCGCATGCTGATGGTGATTGTGGCGCTCTTCTTCATTTGCTGGATGCCCCTGTACTCAGCCAACACCTGGAAAGCCTTTGACCTGAAGTCAGCCTCCAAAGCCCTCTCAGGCGCGCCCATCTCCTTCATCCACCTGCTGTCCTACACCTCAGCCTGCGTCAACCCCATCATTTACTGCTTCATGAACACGCGCTTCCGCAAGGCCCTGCTGTCCACCTTCGCCTGCTGCTGCCGCAACTGGCTCTGTCGCCAGTGCTGGTGGTGCAGGAAGAGGGAGGCAGGAGAAGACGGCCTCACCGCCGCTTCCATGGCCACGTCGATGGCCACCTCTATGTCGAAGTTCAGCTACACCACCGTTAGCACCACCGGCACCTGCTGAGCCTCAGTGAGAGCTGGGTGGTCGCATCAGTGGCTAACGAGCAGCGGTTACTGTGCGCACCATCTGCTTTTTTCAATCTTGTTTTTCACTCTTCATCTTAATATGCCATGAGTCATGTGCTGAGTAATATCGCTGCCCTCATTTATGAGGCCTTTTTAAAAGGTCTCCTTCAAATTCTGTGTGCATGGTTGCAGAAAGTGAGGCGGGGAAAATGTCGTTTCAGTTTGGTGACATTCTTTTTTCTTCTGTTTAATTGGCAGCATCCGCTTTGTTGCATCCTGAAGAGAACATCAAGTGCCTGTGCTCTTTGTGTGGCTTCGTTTGTCATGGTGGTTTGTTCACTGGCTCAGACAAGACATTATAGTGACAAACTACGTTCAATATATTAATCTTGCGTACTTGTAAATACTGTCTTCATGTTCTTACTGTGCCAAATGTTCCTTTTTGACAGAGAAATACTGCTGAACAGTGAGGACTCATTAACTGAGTAATGATTCAGTATGGATTTCCTTTTGTGTTTAATGTTGCTTCATCTTCATTCATTCAGGGCATTTCTCTCTTGCAGTTATCCGTATTATTCTACTAAATAACTTGGACATTGTTGGGTCAATATCAATGGAAACAGAGTTAGTCCACCTTTTTCCGGACAAGCTTCTTGCTCAGCTTTGACAGTGTTTTGCTCTTATGAGTTTTGTTTCATCACTTCCTGTGTGTAAAACAGATTTCCTGCAAATATCCAAACACCAAAATCCATTCAGTTGGGTTATTTTGTCGGCTTCTTATAACAGGATGTTTTTGCAGCACAGCTTTGTGATTCAGACTGATAAGGCAGGTGCATGTTAACGTAAACATCTTCAAGATAAACATCTGAAGACTGTAATTAAGCCTTACTTCTTGGCATACATAAATAAGAAAGCCTGGTGTTTAGAAACAGGCAATTTTCTTTTACTGCAGTAAAACAAACTGGGATGAAACAGGCTTGGTCATGGGACTTAAACCTCCTATTGCCACTGCTACAAATGTGTATTAAATACCGATGCAGACATTGACATCAGGATGTGAATTAACAGAAAAGGTGCTGATGTTCTATCCATGAAAGGCTGAAGGCACCTGCTTGTTACTCCAATGTGCCCCTGCGACAAATGGCAAACTCACCTGTTCTGCTCAATTATCTCTGTGGTGTCTTTTTATGTATTCTCTCTGCCTTCCGCTTCAGTGCTGCCAATTACTCTGAGCATTACCTAAGCACAAAGGCCCCATTTCCAGGCTTAGACTAACGAGGTGTTTCTCAGGGACCCTGTCCTGCAGTGCAACTCTCACGGCTTTGCCTTTATAAAACTGACGCCAAATGGCTCCGCTAACACACCACATCTGAGCCCTTCAATTCTTTAATGATAATAACAATAAGATCAACAACTTGATTTAACAACAATTAATAACAATTAAAGACAGGGCGAAACAGCTTGCACGGCTCTGTCTAAAGCTAAAAAATCCACTTACAGAACCTCTAAAGCTCTCAGCTTGTGCAGATTTGTGTAAAATGTATAATAATTTATAATGCAGAACCTTTATTGTGGGCTTGTGGTGTCATTTACTTGACAGCCCTGTTGGGCTTTGAAGCTAAAGTTTTGGGACATTTGGGTAAATACACTTGTTATTTTCTGACAGAGAGGTAGATGAGAAGACGTACACCACTGATATCTGTTCATAAAATGCTATAGTCAGCAGCCGGTTAGTTTAGCTTAGCAAAAGACCAATATTTTGTTTATGTAATCAAGCATGTGAATAAACGTATTTCTGAAAATGTAAAAATATTTATTTAAAGGAAAGTTTATGTATTTTTATTTTAACCTTTGTGCTTTTCTTTTAATTATGGCTATGGGTCATGCTACATTTGCACTATTGCGGAAATGCCACTTGAACAAAACAACATATATTGGGGCAAGCAGCCCAAGATTTCAAATTTAACTTAAATTTTACATAAATAATTCCATATGAAAGTAAACACAAGAAGAAGCCTCCTGGATTAGCTATTGAAGCTCCTATTATGAAGTCTTAATAATAGTCCACTTGATAACTAACAACCCTTTGCACCCTAGTTTTATTTAATTTCCTTAGAAGACAATAGCGCAAACAAATCTCTCATACTACTTCTCCTGCACGCACACATGCTAAATCAAGCCACAGCCTTGCATGTAAACAAACCAGTGTGAAGATGAATAGGTAGCTGCAGAAGTAGATCCTCATGCAGTTAGCTGCAGTAACTTATCCAGGTGGCTACTTTGTGTGTTTACTTAGGTTTAGACTCAGAGGCAAGCACTTGAAATAATTTATGTAATATTTAAACATATGTGGAGGGACTTTAGGAGGCTTGCCTGCTTTCCATAAACTCTATAACAATGGTGGCAAGTGCAAAGTTAGCATGATCCATTAGTTACCCTCTAAATACCCACTGAATTTTATGTACACATGAAGTACGTGTTCAATGTTAAGGCAGAGGTGTTTGATTTGGGGTGGATAAGACCCGGGTTCAATTCCCACTGTGAGACATCTGCCAGTGTGTCCCTGAGCAAGACACTTAAACCCTAGTTGCTCCGGAGGCGTGCGACCTCTGACATATATAGAAATTGTGAGCAAAATGATTCATGAGCTATGTGTAAATTGACGTTGTCCAGTGATTGATAGATATTATTTTGTTGACAGGACATGATGTTCATCAACAAATTACAGATTGCCTTAGAAAAATGAATTCATTCATAAATTCAGTTAATTATGCCAAAATATGGACATGAAAGTGTTGCAGTGAATAATTTAACACCCCATTAAGATAAAAAGTAGACAGAATTGTATCAGTTGGCCTCTGCAACACAAAAGTATCTGTATTTGTGTTAAGCAGTGTGATGTAATACTTTTGTCCTACATACGGTGTACGTTGACAGCTTAGCGCTGTCATTTCCTATCACTTTCAAGTTTGGTCCTCTTTTTCATGTCCTCTCTTCGCCTAGCACTCCCTGTCCCTGCAGCCCCACCGCCCACCACCCTCCCTTTTTTTATCCTTTTTCAGTGCAGAAGCGTAGGAATACATGAATGACAATAGCGTGTGGGTGACAGCTGAGATTTGCAGGCACAAGCACTGTCCAAGAGCAGTTTACAGACGGTGGCAGAGGTGACGGCGAGTTCGGCTCGCAGACAGACAATTGGCACACAAAAATCCCTAACAGAGCCTCACTTGTAAACACTTCGTCTGCCGGCTTCCACTCTGTGTGTGCTTTCGTAATTAAGGAATGTGATTTCCATATCTTTGCCAGCACTTGGAGAACCTTGTGGATTCAGTCAGGATTTATTTCACTGTCTGTGCACCCTTTCACCTTCCATCAAATTTGTATTTATCCAAATATTTTGTGAACGGTATGAAATTGGAGCCTATAGTTTAATCTTAAAGTAAATGACCATAGCTGAGTGGGAATAATGAGGATAAGCCTCTTGATCCAGAGGTGGTATTGTTTTGTTTTCCATTGCCTGTAGATTTACAACATCACAAAATAAATATGTCTCTAGCCATGTTCATTATGAAAGAACAGTGTAAAACTTCTGGGTAACCTTGCATAGTAAACATTATGGTAAAAGCCTGCAAGAGAGACCAAAATTTGCTTTTGAAAAAAATGCTGTTTTTGTTGAATTTTATATCTGGTTAGCTATTTACCACACAGTCATAGAGCTCCCCAGTCATTCTCATTCCCAGGGCGTCAAATGCCTACACTTCGTCACGTCCTTCAGCATCTGGCACCAACGTACATGGAACCCTTTAGTCATAGTATGCACTGGGGGTGCAAATGCTAAAAGAAGGCCTACTATAAACAAGAGAAAAGGCAAAAGTAAGCAGGTGGTTTGGGTGGACAGGAGGTTCAGAACTGGACTTCACCCAGGAGACTGTGTTTGTTTCCTGTGTTTTCAATTAAGTATTGTTTGCCATTATTTTCTTTTGAAAGTCTATTGCAAGTATGGGCAAATTTTTTAAATGCAGCGATGATTCAAATTCATTTTTAGGAAATACACTTAAAAAGTAAATAAACACATTTTCCAAAATGTAACATGTTTTCTTTCAGGCTTTATGGAGCACTTCCACTGCAGGCCTCTGTTCAGTAACTGTGAAAGTCACTTGAAAGAAACAGTAGGCTACAGAAATAATAGGTTTTTGCTATATCACAGTTAAGTTTACAGACTCCAAAAAAAAAGCCCTGTCTCTGATGTGAGAAATCTAATTTTTACCCCGTCCCCAGAACAATGCCCGATGCAAATTGAAACTGAAATGAGGCCGAGGCATGGGACGGTGCACACAGTTGGTTTCACTCTTATCTCTACCTCCCTCAACAAGAATCCCATTAGAAGCTTCAGGCGGCACACAAGGAGTCAAAAACAGCACACCTCATTTGCTTCTTCAGTTTAGCAGCACACGAGGAAAAAGATTTGATCATCTCGGGACACAAAAGACTGTAACGTCATCTTCCATAAATGCCACTTATCTGGCAGTGAAATAGTAACCCCCTCATATTTCTGATGATTCATTTGTGTCTCTTAAAAGAAGAGAGCATGTCGTTCACTTTTCAAAGCTACGTATGATAATAATTTAATTGCTTCTACAAGCACCAACAAATAGCTTACAAATAGATAATCTGCTCGTTAAGCCGCTCATTACGATTTGGCTCTCAGTTAACCTCTAACTTTGAGGATTTTCATGTTTCCACTCTAATTGAAGGATTACACACCTTGCTCACCTTGAGCTCACTAAATCTTTACTTAAAAATGCTACAAACAAAGCTGCTTTTTCTTAGTTCTTGAAACGTTTACTGCTTGGAGTTACAGGATGTTCAGCCAGCAGCAAACACTGACAAAGCACTCATAAGTAAACTCATACGTTTCTCAATTATTTATAATGGCTACCTGGAGGACGGCTGCAAGTAAAATGTGCCTCTGCTGAATTTTTTATTTTGTTCTTCTGCAGAATAATTCATAATTGCAAAGAGAGATTTTTGTAGTTTCGCCTCAGGCACAGAATTAAATATTTTGTTTTTGTCTACAGGTTCTGCACGTGAGTGATACCAAGAACTGTAGTTGATGTGAGTTGTCAAAGAACCGGCTCTCATCTGTTCCTTTTCATGTACGCCTTTTGCTCAGCCTAACAGATTTCGTCTTTGTAAAGAAAAATAAAAGGGAAAATGTGTCTTCTGGTAGCTTTCTCTGCTCCTTTTCCTTCTCAACGGTTGAGTTACAAGAGGAGTAGTTGTTCTTTTAAGGACTTTGAGACTTCTTAACACCTTCTGAGAGAGCATTTTACGTGTTTAGGGAAAAAAACTCCATCGTAAAGCAGTAAACAAGTAAGTCAACAAAGTGAGAGATGCTGAGATAGCGAGCAGGCGCAGAGATGAGATGATGAAATCATATATTTAGCTCCTATTAGCATTGGAAACACTTCTTTGATGGTGAAGCTGTCTGTGTTTTTACGTCTCCATGCGATAAATGTTTACCAGAGCAGTCTCCAGGTCTGCTGAACTCCTTTTGGTGCCTGCTTGTGCTACATTGTAATACTATAAAATGCGTAATTGTCTGTTAGTTGAAACAGAACCGTGCTCTCATGTCTGTGAGAGGTTTTAAATGTGAGGTTATTGATGTTTGTGATGTTTTGCTTTCGCTGTACAATTACTATGATGCAGTCTTGTTTTTTCATGGCTACACGTACCGCATTTTTTCATGCCAATTATTTAACAAAAAATAAATGTTGGGGGAGAAAAAACATGATTACGTCTTTATGTTATGTGTGTGAGAGCATGTGTGATTACTTCGATGAAAAGTAGGCTTCTGGTATAAAGTCTACTAGACGATAAATAATATCTGCCTCCAAATGAGTCCTTCTCCACTGAAGTTTAAAAGACTTTCTCATCTCAAGCAGAGGAGAGCTGGACTGTGAATAAACTTGAAAAGGGGCGATGAATAACAAAAATAACAACAAACAATGTCAATTCAGTTTCCCCAGCGAACACAATACGGTATAAATTAAAGTCCTCGGGAGACGAGAGGCCTTAAGGAAGTTAAAACTCACATTTCACAGACCGGGATGAAGAAGAGGCTGAATGCTCAGGAGTTATTGCCATAGCAACACGCCTGGCCGCAACTTCAAGCGTCTCGGACCAGAAAACTCCTTTAAAGACGTGGATTTTGCACTGTGTAAAAACAGAAACACATTTGTTTTTTTCTCAGGCGGTGCAGAAGTCCATGAGACTTTTTAAATATTTTACACAGTCAGAGCACACAGTGAAATATGACACGTTTCCTGAATATTAATGGTAGCTATGCTGTTTACAGTTGTAATGGATGTCAGTTGGCTCTTCTCTGAAAAACAGTCGTGGGTATGAGGAATTGCAAATCCTTACTTAAAATTTATGATTTAAAAATTACTTTTTACTTTTTTAAATCATATTATGGCTATACATGTCTTTTTCTACAAATAATATGTAGAAAATCTAAATAATTCCAGAGAGTTTAGTCATTTAAGTGGCTTATGTTCATTTGTAATGTGCCAATATTAGTTTTAGCCTGTTTTAGGATTAACTTTGTCCAGTGTTTATTCAAAAACTTTAAAAGAGTAAAGTTTCTACCAAAACAGAAAGAAAAAAGAGAGAGTCATGGTTGTTTCAGCCTTTTTGTTTTACATAAAACATTTAGCCGCAGCAAGTAGAGAGGTGTTAGGAAACACCAGCTAATGAATACCAGGTGTGCCAGCTGATTAATCAGTTGCATTAATTACGCTAAAGATGTCACAGGCTGCCTTTTTCAGTAGTAGACATTTTGACTTGTCATAGTCGGAAAAGCACAGGTGTTACTAATAAAATTAACAATGGCTTCGTAAGTCATGGCAGTGTGACAGTGAGTCAGCAATCACAATACCAGGACCCTGAAGCTGAAGCAGCTAAATGGAATTCAGCCACAATTAATTTTATACATTAACTTTTTGTACTGAAAACACAAACAGTACAGTCCTGTGCCAACATCAGCTTAACTGATGCAACTGAGCAATCATGTGGTATTAATTAGCTGTTGTTTCCTGGCACCTATATATGCTTCTGACAATTGCTTTAAAGCTCTTATAGTCAATAATTTTAACAATTAGTGAAATGATTATGTGTAATGTGAGAGAGGCTGCTTGTTTTAATGAACCCACAACTCAAAAACAACAGGGAAAAAATGGTTAATTGAAGTAAACCTGAAAGCTTGAAAATGCAAGATGACTGTGCTTTTTTTTGGAGTGACTAATGAGCCTGGGCTAGCTCTGTTGTGAACATGGGGCCAGTCTCACTGGATTTGCAACATACAAGCTGTGATTTGCATCATAAAAGCATTTCCTCTTGCGCATTTTCACATGTTTTACTAACAAAACACAAAACTAAGCCATATGTGACCCAATAGAATATGCGAGGCTTGTATTGACTTGAAAGTGAACCCGCGAGAGATTTGTGCAACGTGACACTGCCACCATTTATGATCTGCATGGAAGCAATGTTCGCAACATCACAGCAGGAGCATCTGCAACAGATAGAACCGGTCTTTGCAGTCCTCATTCCTGTGTCCCCTTCAGCTACATTGTCTTGAAACCAGCCCGTCTGGTCGACTGTGAAGCGGTTTATTGCTACCCATATTCACATTAATAGTTAGGCCGCAACCTCTAGTGGCCGTATCATGGGAGCACATGAGGAAGCCGGGTGATGTAGTATATAGAGCGACAAAGGCAGCGTAAGGAGGTGGTTTGGCTGGATGGATTGATGGGTCAAACAAACAAAGCACCTTCACCCAGGACACTTACCTATTTATAGATCTTATTTAAATAGTGTTACTGACTTCATGCAACCCAAACCACAATTTTTTCCTAAACCTAACCAAGTGCTTTTGTTGCCTATACCTAACCAAAGAGCTCATACTTTGTTTTTGTATGAAATTAGACCGCTGAATCCTACACTGTTTGTCATGGCTGCTTTCTGCCACAGGGTTCAGTAATGGAAGTCAACACTGGAGTGTCCCCCACCCAACAGAGCAACACAGACCTCTCATTTATCTTCTTTCCAACCCTGTAGCAGGTATTCCTAATGGTCTATCCTCATCTCTAGCTCATAACTCTTCATCCCCTCATCTTCCTCTTCCTTCTCCTCATGTTGACTTGCAAAATAAAACAGTATTTTTCCATGAAATAGGCCTGACCAGCAAGTTTAAGCTATGATAGGCCCTATTGCTTGTAGGCAGGGGTTGTTTCATTTAGGACAATGTAATGAAAATACAGCATTATAGCATTATAAAGAACTGCAGGATCCCTGGACCCAAACAGCCTGAAGGAATAAAAGAAACTTTAGAGATGCATCTCCCTTTTATATTTCATGCTGTGTTGTACAATAAATCCATGTGTTGCTATGGATTGCTGCATAACTGATTCACTGCACCATTTAAGTAACGTTTCTGTTTCCAGAGGCCATAGCATATGTAGGTATTTTCTGTCCAACACATAGAGCGCTTTTGTACAAAAGCCAGTGTGAGCTATATAAAAGCCTTCAGGCCATGCTTTTTTCTTTTCACACACCTTCCGGTGTGAGCAAAACATGGTGCACTGATGAAAGGTGCTATCAAACTCAGCGAATCCTGAGAGGCTAATTCAGATATAATAAGAGCTTTTCAATTTCCCTGTAGAGTGATATAGATCCAAGGGGTGAAAGGGTGCATTGTGAAAGGGCACCTTTCAGAGAGGGAGAGAAAGGAGAGATTTCTTTTATTTGAATGTGCAGAAACCTCCAACCCAGGCAGGTAAAAGACCTAAATGCCTAACACAAAAACCTTCCCCTTCCACTGAGGCTTAATCCTCGGATGAAAGAGCCAAACTACACTTGTTACCAGATTTAAAGCCAATGGTGTTGGTGATGTTTGTTCTATTTCATCAAATCAGGTTAACCTCCATCACAGCACACAGGAGTCAGATATTAACCCTTAAATGCATACCTTGGTATTAGTGACAAGGTCTTAAATTACACCCTGCCTAATTCATTCATTCAAGCACACAATTTGGAACTATTTGTCAAACTATGTGCCGTTTTTGGGTCACCCTCCTAGCTCACCTGATAGCTTGGATACCGTCCACTAGGCTGAGTCCTTACCACCCTCTCTCCTGCCCATCCAATCTCTCTCTGTCACTATCAAGTAAAGGAGAAATGACAAATAAATAGTCTTTTTTTTTAAATGTGCCATTTGTGAATTTTCAAAGCAGAGCTGGAGCATAAGTATGACGAAGCTAGCCGAGACGACACGAGCTCTGAATGGCATAATGTATAAGGAACGGTCCCAAGAGAAGCTAGCACTGATGAGGGAACCTTACAAAACCTCATTTCATGCAAAAAGTGAGCAGAAAACCAAATATTGCTTCAGGGTTCCCATTGAGAGAGATCTGAAACTTCTGAAAAGCCCACAGAGGTTTGTTGCAAAAAAAAAATCTATGTTGAACAACTTTCCTTAAGTTAACTTTAAATTAAATTAACCTTGCCAGCTGGTGCTGTCTGTAAGTAAGTCAGTCAGTGACGTGACATGCAGCCTGATGAATGGCATTTGACGATGGCAAAATTAAGCTACGACAACCCAGTTGTCATTCTTGTCCTGCAACACGGAGCTTTGATGCCTTTAATGACTCCCATCACTAAAGAAGGGTGTGCTAACAGCGCTAATGGCCCTTTGTGGGAGGAAAACTTGTGCTCGACACTCCCACCTTGAACACGCTGGCCCGGGGGAGACAGATTTATCGCAGCAATCACTGAGACGTCCTTCTGTTTTTCAAAGTTTTCTCACCACTGAGGGCTCCGGGTTTTTATTTGCGTGATATGTCATGTTGTTGCTAAGTAACTGAGCTGAAAAGAGCAGTCTCCGCGATACAAAATCTGACATATTCTTTATAAAAACACATGGTGGTTTGAGAACTGTGAAGAGCAGAGATGGGGTGGTTACATTTAAAGCTTTCGTTTGGAGAATATGGCTAAGGAGCGCATGGGAATGAAACCCTGCATGGTATGTATGGGTAGGCATTCATATAATATGGGAATCTCCTCTCCTAGCAATTTTTCTACAAAAAAGTAATCACATGGCCTGTGTTGTGGCAGCTAATGGTAATGGGTTTGGGCTTTACCTACTTCATTTTGGCGTTTGTGATGTCTGTCCTGGCCATCTACAAACTTGGACCAACTGTGCTTGGAAAGTGGAAATTAATTTTCTGCACCAGAGGGAAATGTGAAGACGTGTCAGTATAACAGGTTTATACTCACATCTTTGGCACAACACAGTTCTTCTCCTTTCTGTGTTGGTTCGAGATGCTGTGTGTTTGAGCCGGTTCAATCTCCAACCAGCAAAAGACAGCTTAACCTTACTCTGTTTCTTCGGGAATCACACTTTAACCACAATCGTCGTGAGACTCTGCCTAACAGATGGGGGATGTCCTCTGGAGGAAATCTATTTCTATGACTGATGCTTCGAGCTTGGGTCTTCTTGAAACCCATGAAAGGCATGGGAGGCCATAAAAATAGAAGAAGTTTTTATTTTTTTAAGGAGAATCTTTTCTCACATAAACATTTTGCTGTTTCATATAAGAAGCACTCAGACATAAGCTGCCTCAAAAAGGACTTTGAAGTTTTACTCAGAAGGAAAATGGATTCAAGTGCGGCACTGTGGGGCAGGAGAAGGGAAAAAGATAAAAAATGCTTAATGTGAGGAGCTCTTGGGGTGTTTAATATGCAGATATTGTCATCCCGA